GTATCAGTGAATATACTTTTCATTCTTCTACGTTTTTTAACTTTAAAATTATGTTAGTTACATTTTATTTGAGGTGGAAACATGAAGATTAGCATTCTAAAATCAAATTTTAAAAAATCATCTTATATGTGAATATAAAAAATGTATCTTCTTATCATATACAGTAAAATTTAAATACACTGGTTCTCTATACGTATATATTGCATACATATAGAAATGCAGAAAACCTAAATAATTTAGCTTAAAACTTTATAATTTTTCTGTTCAATGTATTTAACCTGTGCAAAGAATTTCATTAAACACTTAATAATATTCATCAAACCTGAACAGATACCAGCATTATTAATTTATCTTATATCCTAAAGCAAGTTCCAGCTACAAAATGTGATAAGGAAAGAAGGCCAATACCAGAAGAAACCATCTGAAAATGAAACTTCCCTAAAAACCTAAATTATAGTGCTGCTAATGTGAAAAGTACAGTACTACTAAAGTTGACTTCATTTGAAAAGATGAGATACAAAAGCCTTCTGAAAATATAGTTCCAGTAAGTTAATTAAGATGCAAGTTCATATAATATTTTGCATGGATCAAAAATATACCCAAACTGTGATTCTCTGTAGCAAAGAACACAGACTGGAGCGTGAAAGCTGAATATCATGGATGCTGTGCGTTGCTGCAATGCTAGTGTGGAGGCTGCTTTTCAAGAAGAGAGAAAAGGGCTGTCAGCAATGTAAGAATCCCATCAATAATGGAAAACACCAAGGGCTCTGTAGTGGTGCTTTGTAGATGAAATAAATCTCAAATGGATTTGATTGGTAGGAGCAGTAGAGGAAATGGTTCACTAACTATGTGTTCACTGAAAGACGAAACAGTGGCCAGAGGAGCTGCAAGAAAAGATGAGTCCCATATGGACTAAGAAAGATGGCGATGGAAATCCAGCCTGGTCCTGAGCAGGGTTTATGAGTAAACCTAATTTGAGCTAAAAGGCATTTTCTCCCATTTAAAGTATCTCCAGGGAATAATTAGCTGTCTCATTATTGGTTAAGTCCTGAAATAAAATATGGTTAATTTGGCTGATCTTTTTGTCTGGTCTACAGCACCTCTGCATTTTTATCAATAGAATGCAATAAACAAAACTGAGTAAAATCTATGATTTCAGCTTTCTCAATGTATTGATGACCGCTGGCTCCCACGTCATCATCTCCTGCTGCATCAAGAATGTGGTTCTTCAGAGCTGGTCTTCTGAGAAAATCTATACATTATTGAGTTAATGCCCCTTCTTGCTACCCCAGAAGCTGGGATTCACAGAAGTTAAATAATTGCTGGGAATCACACAGCCAGAGCTAGAAGCCATGGATCTCTGTACACTTTGTTACACAGTCCTGCTAGTCAGAGGGCAAAACATGAGCCTAAGGACATGATCATTTATACTCGATGCTGGCTTGCACTTCGTTTTCTACTTGTATGCTTTTCGATATCCATCTTTTTTCAGGAAGACCTCAGACCATAATTTAACTTAAGTCTCCATCAACATTTTGGACAACCTTAGGTAAACAGATAAAGGATTACTATTCCATTATAATTCCAGTAATAATTATACTTATTAATTGATTCAAGAAAAATAATTGGGATGGATATATTCTGTATAACACTTGGGGAAAATATCCAACAATATTCATGATAAAACATATGAAACTTATGTGATATAGTAATGACACAATGTTGATATAGTTAAGATTTTATGTCAAATATTTCTAAATTCAACTAGAAATAAAAATCTTCAAAAAATGTTTTAATGCTGGGTTTATACTTTATGCTAAAAAATCCTTTTTAGATTTTTTAGAGGTCCTTTTTAGAAGAGATCTCCTATAATATTACTTTCCTATTTGGTTATTAACCTAAATGATGTTATTTTACTGAATTTCATATGTGCTGCAAATCCTGCTGGGAAAGCATAAAACTGGACTCATTTAGGAAGAGGCAATGTGGCCATATGAGAAAAGCTGCCATATGCGAAGCCTCACTTTATGCCTGTTGAAATTTCTGTGTTTCAGGTCTCCTAGGGACATGTCCATTGTGCTATTGTGTAATTTTATCAGCATGAACTTCTGCTGAATATTTTCTCTTCTTTTCAAAACCCATATTTTGGTAGAGCTAACTTCAAAACTTAATGTTACAACATCTGTGCCCGTACACCTGGGAGCCATAGAAGATGTTTCCTGAAGATTATCTACATTTTCTAATCTTATAGAATGCTACAAAATGAGAGAAAAGGTTATACATTTTTCCCGGTCTGGAATTTTTTGAAGGGAACCACTTTCTGTCTCCTTAGAAAGATTCTCAAAATAAAAGAGAACCCATATTTCTAAAACTAAAGAATATCCCTACAAATGTAATAGAACGCTCATTTGCTTTTATTTGCAGATAAAAGTAATTAACAGATATGCGTAACTCTCCACTAAGAGACACTGTGAATATACACAAAATCTGGAGCTATATTCTCAAAATTTTTTCAGACAAGACTCTAATGACTACATGAATCAAAAGAAAGCAAAGATAAAGTTCTAATACTGTGAATTTATTTACTACTTCTATTCTCTGGATCTCTGAATAATCAATGGCATGTTTTTAAAAAAATAGAAATTATGGTGGAATCAGCATTTCTCAAACAGAAGATTGAGATCTGGACAAAGACAAAGGGCTTCACAAATAAGGGAGATGCCCCCCCCCAACCCCGTCTCATTAGTTGTTCTATCTTTACAGAATAAAATATGCGTATCCAAACTGCCTGCCGGGGACGGTGCTGAAAATGAAATGTGCAGAACAATTTGTTGAAGGATAATGTAGAATATGTGGAGTTTTTATGGATTCAAAATAGTTAGGAAAGACAATGAATGGACCTGAGAAATTCCACATGCAGGTTCTCTTGACTTTGTCTTCAATTTATCAAATTATGATAAATACTAAACAGGTATGGATGCTTTCTATGTGCCAGGTATTGTTGTAATTGCTTTACACGTATTAACCTGTTAAATTTTCATCACAACTGTATGACAGGTACTTTTGTCATCACCATCTTACAGATAAGGAAACTGAGGCACTGAAAGGTTAAATAACTTGCCCAAGGTCACACAGCTTATCAGCAGGGGGCTGAGCTACTGCACTGTACCCCGAACCGATGAACCCACGTTGTCCCATTTTCCTTCAGTTACTTTTCGCATATGTAACAGAATAGCTTTTAACTCTTACTTTGAAGCAAAGAATAAGATGATAAAAGTGATGCATTTTAAGTTATTTCAAATTTAAGCAGAAATATTCAAGGCAGGGTCAAATTAAGTATCTGTGGAATGGAACTTTCTAATTCAAGCCCACAGGCATTATTACCGTCCTACAGAGAAAAATCAAATTTTAATAATGAAATTCAACTTCAAAGTTTTTACAAGCAAGTAGCAGAGTTTGACTTCCCTTCTTTCTCACACGCCATTACACCATTTGCAGAAGACTGACATCCTACAAGGGAGAGGGGAAAAGTGGGTATTTAACTCTTCGGTAATTGGAAGAGTGTTGAAGGTTGGAGTAGCCACTGGGAGAAGGGTAGCATGTCAATGTACACTGAATGTGTGCTATTCCTGGTAGGTCAAGTTAAAAAGAGGAAAAGGTACCAGTTGTTTGATGTTCCTCATTTGCATGTCTTGAAGCATAATATACAAAGTAAATAATTTCTGCTGCAGAGAAATTAAGAAAATAGGCATGGCATTGTGTATTTTACTTTTTAGAAGTACAATTGAAGGGAGCAATGCCATGTACCTGTATCTGAAGTAACGGTTGTATCAATTCTCTATTATCATCATCAGACAGGAATTACTCCAAACATACCAGTTAATTGACTTGCCAGGAACATGGTGCCCTGAGCCTGAACTAGGATTTACACTACAGAAAAAGTTGTTAGAGGCATAGACAGGGAAGAACATTGTGCTGTGAATGCAGTGGAAATAAAAAAAAAAGATGTCAAAATCACTAACATGACTTAGTAATTAAACTAGGTGAATGCTCCTGCCAAGAAGAGTTCATAATTTGGAAGCTGTAGTTACTATTGACCTGATTTTACAATTGAGATCATGTCTACATTTTAATTTGGAAGCAAAATTGATCATTGTGTTCTGTAAACAAGGCCTGTCAAGTTATTACTTTGAAACTGCTTTACAAACGCATATTTATTTAAGAGCAGCATGATTTATGATATACTACACCAGACAAATTACTTCATTATTTATTTCATATTTGAGCTTCTTTTAAGAGATTGTTTTATATTTGAAAATAGACTTCTTCAAATTCTTCAGTAAATACTAAATTTCTTTGATAACAATTTTTAAAATAGATTTTTAAAGAAGATGTCTATCTTTACTCCAATATATTGGCTTCTTCCTCCCAATACTGCTTTAAAATTTACTAAGTATTCATTCCTCCCATGTCTTCAGAAATCATTATAATGTTCACTTATTTTTTAACAGTATTCAATATTATATTATCCTATTATTAGCAGACAAAGCTTGCAATTTAGAAGGTTCATACAATGTGCTTATTTTACATACATTGCTTCCTTTAATCACTACCATACAAAGGATGACAGAATGAAATCAATACACAAGGCTTAATCTATTAGTTTTAAAGTCATTTCAGTTTTCTAAGACTCTTACCCATCTAGTCTGTAACTTCGATTTCTTACAGGCTTTCTCAATACTACAAACTTTAAATTAAATTGAATCTAAATGAATAAGAACATCTTTATACTATTTGGAAGGTCAAAAAACTGTTACAAGTATCTTCTTTTGCCGCTTCTAGATTTTATTCTACTCTCAAAAGTAGGTTTAGGCTTAAAGAAATGTTTGTTTCCTCCCTTCACAGGCTGCAGGTGCACGAAGGTAACTGACGGCTGAATCCTAGGCAGGAATCCAAAGAAACCCTCTGTTCTTGACGGGTTCATTTAAGAGCAGTCCTACCTTTTTCACCTTCTTTTTCTTCTTGGTCATCTGTTAGTGGAATCACTTCTGGTTGCTCCCCAATTGTGGCATCTTCTTGGTTTGATGAAAGCTCTGAATAGAATGAGACAGAAAGATGCTCAGGGGTATTTTAGTTGGACTCATTGAGAAAACACAATGACTAAAGCATAAAAACTTAAAGCTCATTTTTCCTCCAATTTTAGCAGGCACACAGAGCAGAACATTGTTGCCATTCTCTAGTAATCATTGTCTAAAACACATGCATATCACTAACACACACAAGTATATACAGAAGTCATGGTTCACAGTTTTATCTCATTCTCTGATAACAGTATATTCTGTTTTCAATACCTTCTGTTTCCATACATGAGCTCTGGGACTCTGCCTCAATTTTTATTTCATTCTTCGTTGAATCATTCTCTTGTCCTGTTAAGAACAGTGATTGAAAAATGAAGGAAATTCTGATATGCATGACCATAGCTTTATCCTTGGTTTGAAAAAAGCAAAGTTTTCAGAAAACATGCTCCAATCGTGCATGGAGAGGTAGAGAACAGTTTTGAATCAAAGCAGAGGGTGAAGATATTATTTTGCAAATCATCGAATTTATGTCAATTATTTTCTGAGAAATATCCAGATATTTTAGGCAAAAACCCCTTCTTTGAACGGTTTGTGTAATTAGTATTTAGTTTATCAATGCATTGAACATCAATGGACACAACCTGGAAGTTTTGAAATTTTAAATAATTTCTGGGATGTATGGGTTATCTACATTTAATTTTCCTTTGGATATAGATATTTCCCATACTGAGGATTGCTAGAAAATTGAAACACTACTTGTATTTTCATTCTTCCATCAACAGAGCATAAAAAACTTGATTAATGTGAGCACACAGGGATTGTGTCACCTAATAGCTCAATCACTCTCTTAAGACACCCACTAAATATAGCAAAGGTCAGGAGAGAATTCAGCCAACTCTTGATTACTCCAAGCCTAATTACCTAGTAATGGTTTTTCTTCCACACCCCCTGGCTTCTCCTCCTCCCCTCCCCTGTAGAGTTTAGAACATTTAAGTGCTCATTAAGAGAGGAAATTGAAATCTGTCCATTTTGCCTCATTTCAATGAAAGATTGTATGCTGAGGATTTTTAGCTGTTGAATTAAAAAAAACCTTCCAGAGCCAGGTTTGGTTATAGGCATAAAGGGGATGCAGAGAAGCTGGGCTCTTTTCCTGGGTACATCCCTGTGGTAGATTGCATTGTTCTTCCAACTTGTCTCAACTTCTTCCTATAAGAAGATTCCATGTCTCTGTCTGTGACCATGTGACCTGCAGTGACCCCTGTGGGACAAGTGTATGCTCCCACCTTGTTGACACTAGGCTTATTCACATAACTTGGTTTAGAAAATGGCATGACAAGAGACATGATGTGTACTACATTTGAGCAGAATCTTCAAGATCCATTGCACGTTTCCTCAAGCTCTCTTGCTCCTAATAGAGCATGCTCCTTCAGCCTGGATCCTGGAATGAAAACATGCGGAGCAGAGCCAAGCATGGACACAGTGAACCTTTGTTGTTGTAAGCTAACGGGACTTCTAGGCTTATTTGTTAATGTATCAAAGCCTTAAACAACCTCTCATCTTTATAGCTTGCTCTTTAATACAGCTATTCTTGAACTGCCCACTATACCACTTCCCCTTGGTTCATTCCCTGCTGAGGTGACCCAGACTGAAAAAACAAAATGGGTTTTTTTTGACATCCGTTCCTTTTGAGCTCAATTTTAATCAAAAGGATCTGATAGAATAATTATAACTGAGGTAAGTTTATCTATCTGGTCATGGAAGCTAAAAATTCAAGCTGTCTTTGATGACTTTCTCTCATCACTCCTAAAATTCTATGAAATGCCAAGTTTTTATGATTCTACAAAATGTTTCTCTTTTCCCACTTTCCAGTCCCCTTCCCATTTCCTCATTCCGGGATTTATTATGTCTCTTGGATTTGTCATTTTCTTCTCTTAAAATCTATCCTGTAAATTGCTAGCAGAATTATCTTTTAAAACATGGATTTAATCAAGACATGTCTCCTGCTAATAAACCCCATTCATCCCAATTTCTCCCCATTGCTACTCAAAGTATGGTCCATGGAAAAGCAACACTGGAATTACCTGGGAGCTTTTAAAAAAACACGAGATTTCAGGCCTCATCCCAGACATACAGAATCAGAGTTTGCATTTTAACAAAACCTCTAGGTGATGCACATTAAAGCTTGAGAAGCACTGCCTAGAGGTTATACCTGCAAATTATTGATCCCATGAAAAATGCCAGCCTACCTAGACATTTCACATCCATCTCCAATCATTGTGTTAGTCCTGTAAAGTAAGTATTGTGATCTCCATTCTGCTTTCAAAATTTATAGCTAGGTTTATCTGACTACAGATCCCTTTTTCCTTTTTGTTTTGCCTGGAAATGTCTTTATTTTGCCTTTTAATTTTTAAATTGAAGTATACTTGGTATATAGTAAAACACACAAGCTGTAAATATATAGCTTGATGACTTTTTACATATACACACATCATCTCCCTGTGTGAACATCTCCCAAATCAAGAACATTTCTAGCACCAGTGGTTCCCTCTGTTGATACCTGTGGATACCCCCCTACAGGTAAATGGTAACAATTTGGTCTGTTTTTGAAATTCATGTAAACAGAACATACAGCATATGCTCTCTTATATCTTACTTTTTAAATACCTTTTCTGTGAGATTAATCCCAGTTGCTGCATATATCAATCATTTGTTTTTTCATTGATGTATACTATTCCACTGTCTGGATATATTATGTTATATGGATGTTGAATTGTTTTCAGTTTGGGGACATTATGAATAACACTACTAAAAACATTCTTGTGCATGTTTTTTGGTGGACATGTGTATTCATATCTCTTGGGTGTAAACCCAGGAGTGAAATCACTAAGCAATAGGCAACACATATGTTTAGCTTTACTAGATTCTGACAGTGTTCTAAAGAGTTTATTCTATTTTACACTCCCACCAGAAATGTATGAGACTTCCAAGTGTGTACTTTATTCTTTAGATTATGTCATGATACTACTGGTCACATAATTCTTTAATATGGAGAATAAAACTGAGGAAATCTTTCCCCCAAAGTCCATTTCCACCCTTTTCACCTTTGGGTACCATATAGAGGGATGATACCACACTACTGGTTATTTATTCTACGATGTATTGAGTGCTACTAAGTGGCAGATATGTCAGGTGTTGGGAGTAGATCTTAAATAAAATAGAGTGCTTGTCCTCAAAATGCATATGGTTGTAAGGACACAGGCATTAAAGGTGGAAGAAGTTTTTTCTAGTAAGACGTGAAACAGAGTTTCAAATTTTTGAAAAATTCACTTTTAACAGATTTTTAGATCACAGGAAATTGAGAGGGATAACTAATGTATTAAACAACAAAATCAAGACTGGAACAGTCTTAAATAGACTGAATAAACGATGAAATTTGACAAGCACAAATGTAAAATTCTAAAATCAAGATTACAATTCAACCTCAAGGAATGAAATGGGAGGAAATCAATCCCATTTCTGATAAAAGTAAAGCCACAGGTTTTGCATTCTAGTTCTCCTCTCGACAAATACTGGATGAATACCAGAATGGCTGGATAGAGAGAAGGATTCTGTCACATGGAAAGTAGAAGGAATATTCTCACTGTATCTCCTGGCAAACATCTTGCCTGGACAGCGATTTTTAGCTATCCAACAGCAAACAGGGCACTTAAAAATTGAAACATAATACAAGAGGAGAATAATACTAAGAGAAAAATATTTTTGTTAAAGATATATTTAGAAAAAGAAAAAATATAGAAAATGTCTTGGTGTTTACAATGAAATGGAAGAACTGATGAATAAGGAAATGAAAAGATGGACTGAATGAAGAGGAAATTGACTAAGACAATAAGAAAAATCTTCAATCCTAAAAATGTAATGACAGTCTTAACATCTGTAATGGATGCCCTAAAAGATAATATATACTATAGATTAACAAATTAATGTTTTAGAGATCAAACTCTTAACTTGTTCACTTAGAAAGCAAAGGTGGTGAGCAAAATGAAACATGAAAAGGTGATAGATACAGAGGACAGAAAATAGCAATAGAATTTCTAATCTAATGATTACAGGAAGTCTAAGCAGCAGCTTTTATCTATGTGATGGCAACCATTAAATAACATATTATAAGGTTTAAAAAGATTGTAGAAGGTAGAATACAATTTCATTTTTTGTAACTACATGCATATCACACGTGCCCTTATACATATTTGTATCAGCAGGGACAAAAACTAGAACACCTTAGGTGTTATCATTGACTATCTTGGAACAGTAGGTGAGATTTTAGTTTATAGGATTTTTGTTTCACTAAACAGCATTTATATTTATACTTGTACAATTGCATATTCTATAATTTAATAATTATTATGAAAATTTAAAATATAGAGAAAAAACACTTTCAGTGATATCACAGAAGAAAAATTTCTAGCTAAAATGTGTGTGTGTGTATGTGTTTGTGTATCTAACCCATTACTTTTTCTCAGTGTCTATGCTACTTAACTCTAGAAAACACTTGAGAAATTAAACAGTTGAGTAACTTTCTTCTTCAATGTCTGCTTTTTTGTTTGTTGGCCAAATCACCTACCATTCCATATTCTCTCTATATCCCAACCTACTAAACATTTTCTAAACACATTACTTTATTTCTTGTCTTTGTTAGCATGTGTTCTCACTGGTGACATTCCTTTTCCCCATTTCTACCTGGTAAAATTCTTCTCATCTGTCAAAGCTAAGCCATCAATTTACCTTTTTTATTAACAGTCTCTGAGTCACTAGGCAGGAGTGATTTATTTTCACATCTTTGCTTACTGAGTTCCTTTGTTCATTCATCTGTGTATTATTCTCCTTACCACACTGAAACATAGTTGTATCTGTCTTTGTCTCTCTTACTAAGTTATAAGCACTTTGAAGATAGAAATTGTGTTTTATTCATATTTCCCTTTCCAGCACCTACTAATAAAGAGTAGTCAATAAATGTCTACTTAATTGGCCCTTTATTTTATTTATTTATTTTTTGAGGAAGATTAGCCCTGAGCTAACATCTGCTGCCAATCCTCCTCTTTTTTGCTGAGGAAGACTGGCCCTGAGCTAACATGCCCATCTTCCTCTACTTTGTATTCGGGACACCTGCCACAGCATGGCTTGACAAGCAGTGTGTACGTCCACAGCCAGGATCTCAACCGGTGAATCCCAGGCCACAGAAGCAGAACATGAGAACTTAACTGCTGCACCACCTGGCCAGCCCTAATTGGCCCTTTATTACAGTGCTGTCTGTAAAAAGTAATCAGGGAATGTAACTTACTTCCTGTTTC